TCTGGGAAAGGTGGAAGGGGAGAAGAAGGATTAGGGTTACAATGAAAACAGCTTTATGTAAGACTGAATGACTGACACCTGCGAAAGCAGAGAAGAGGAAATTTGGATCACGAGAGGCTCAGAGTGCCAGCACCTTCCAAGAAACATTGGGCAGGGCCAGGGGAAGTCCTTAAGGAAGGTGCCCTTTTGAGGTTGCCCTCCCCAGGTGACAATGGAGTGAGTTTACACTGATGTAACCTACAGGTTCAGTTACTACCTTTTTGGGGCAGCAGGCGTCTATGCAGACTCAGTGTGGAACTGCGGTACTGGCGGCGTGCTCAGACAGCTAATGTCCCTAGGCCAGAGGACCAAGTGGCAAATATTCAGAGATGCTATGCAAATTTACTTGACAGCTTATACTGTTCTGCCTCTCTCCGGAGAAGATTGTATTTAATTATTTATCTTCTATGATTAGATATTAATTGCCAAGCAGTTTCTGGCATATAAGAAGAGGCAGTTCACTGGCAGGCGTTCTTGTCAAATGAATTTCTTTTCGTATCTTAATATAGTATTATAAAATGCATACAGGAAATTGTAGGATTCTATTAAAATGCGAGAGAAAGGAAACTTTCTATATGTCACATCTTATCGCACATAGAGTAAAAACTTTATTTTGTTTTCTAAAGGTTATACATAAATGATCGAAACCAATTGTTTTATGCTATTTTCATGCAATATGAATTTGTGAACATAATTTCATGGTCTAACAGACTTCACTATTATTAGTTGAAAAGAATCTTTATATTCTATTTTGTAATTAGGTTATTTTTTATTGTGACACACGTTAATTGTTTAACGTTGTCCCGTCATATAATTCTGTGATAAGCAATCTTGTCTATATGTTTCTACATCATTTAAATGGTATAGTCTTTATTTGAAACATGGCCATCGAGAATCAGAATACAACGTGACTTGTCTTCGCATCCCTGTCACTTCACGTTTTTCATATGTGGCAATCTTCCATAAATGAGTCAAAATATTGTACTGGCGACTGAGTACAATAGAAACTCATTGTTTCATCAGACGAGGCGTGACTTGAGGTTTTTAGTTCATAGACTCAGAACTCAAGCTAGAGACTAAACATTCTAGCTACACACAATCTAGATGTAATGTAATGTTGTTATGTTGCTTTGATTTGTAAAACACAAAATCCAACTACCTGGATTGTTCAGTAAAGGTCGTGGGAAAACTTCAAAGGAAACAGAAAACATTTTCAAAGTAAGTCCACAATGCTTAAATCCTGGTTATGTTATTTAATAGCATTAGCAACATATAGTGGAATTTTTTGTTCTCAGTTGTAAAATAAGTATATAATTGTTTATTCATGAAATTAATGTGGATGGATTAAAATGAAAAAAATTGTATGGGGTAGAAACCAAACACATACATTCTGAAACACAGTGTATTGTAGGTGCAAAATGACTAGTAATAACATTGAAGACATCAATCATTATAACAAACAATTAGTAAAATTGCATAATCAATAATCTAAAAGTATTTCTACTGAGGTAAAAATTATACTAATGTAAGTTACTTTTAAAATGTGCTGAGAACAGTTATGATTTATATCTGGATGTTCCTTAGAAGCCTTACGTGCTCAAGGCAAGACTTTTGAAAGGTGAGTGGGTTGTGGGGGTGTATAGCTCACTTGCTGTTGGGAGGTGGGATCTACTTCGCAGACAGGTCACTGGAGCATGTGTCACTGCAGGTGTGACTTTGGTAGTTTGAATTTCCCTCTGGGCTCCCTGTATTGCTCTCTGCTCTGCCTGTTTTCCACGAGGTGCTCAGCTTTTCTCCATCCACAGCCCTCAGCCATGCCACTGACCATGCAAAGACCGAATCTGTTACAATATGAACTGAGCCAAAATACACTGTTTTGTCCCCATAGTGAGGAAAGTGACTACAACAATATAAATCCAGAAAAATCTCAACATTTTAAAATAATCATAGCTATGTTTCCCCCAAATAAATATCTATAAAAACACATAAAAGTTACAAGTATTTCCCCATCCCTACTAAAGAAACCTCAATTTCAGAAATATTATAATAGTTATGCTTTTTAATTAAGCCCTTTCTAATCACCCAATAACAATATAATATTAGAAGTAACTGATAAATATTTTGATGATAATTACATAGCATAAAGAGAAATTATACACAAATTAACTATAGTGAAATTTCCTTCCTGTTACAGGCAAAAATGAGAAAAGATGACTTTTGTAAAATTACTGAGGTCAGTTTTGATATTATCTCTGTGAATTGAGCAGAATAAAATAGAAAATACTATGAACCTGTGTTTTCTGGTTACTAAGATATTTTTATTGTACAAAGTAATGAAAGCTTTTTCTGGGAACTTCCATTTGAGTACAATCATATTTCAAGAACAAAACAATTGCTTTATATGTGTAGTAACCTGCTACCAAACCACCTTGCAGATATTTCACTCTTTAAAGCTGGGAAATATACATTTTGATTGCTACCTATGTCTCAAAAGCTTAACTAGGTAAGAAAACTTTCCACGATGGTACACCCACAGAGATTCTTAATACTTCAGCATTTTTTATATTTAGTTTATATATAATTGTACTTATTTACTTTATTTAGAGAAAAATAATAAAAAATTGAATGGAGTTATGCTATTTCAGTAGTATACAATTTACACGGTTAAATTCAGCACATCAATTACTACAATCAAATACTCAAGTGAAAATATATTAACTACATGTGTGGTCATAGTTGATCTTTATACATTTTGTAACATCTAATTCATCCATAGAAGTTGGGCCTTAAAGCTTTTATGCTCATTTGTAAACTTCATTCACATGGAAAACGATAGGTTTTCATTGTGAAGTGTAGGCGTTGGAACCCTCAGTCTACCCTATTACCAATGTCACCTTGGTCAAGTTAACTTCTCAGATTGGTTCCTCATCTGTAAAGCACTGGGATATAATAGAATGGAAGAAGCATAGGTATTGGAATATGATAGTTAACTTCTGACTACAGGCCTTGAGATTTTGTAACAAACACAATCTATTTATTTGCATATTTTTCATTTAATGGGGGCTAACTTTGTTTTGGCTGAGATTTTAAGGTTATTTAACAGAGATGGCATTAATGGGAGAAACTGATATTTTTAGTAGAAAAATGGAGGCACATATTATTTAACAAAATAATCAGTAAATAAATGAAACACAATAAAGGGAAGCAAAATGAACTGCACAGGTGCTGTTCCCTGACATATAACAGGCTATGCTTTGATAATGAACTACTCTCAAACCTCAGTGGCTTCCAATCATTGCAGTTTGTTTTCTCTTGGATTTCTTGCCATTGTGGTCCTGTTTTGGCTCAGTGCATGTCACTTTGATGAGGAAAGTGCAATAACTCATTAGCATCTGAATATGGATGCTTGTCTTGCAAGTGGAAAATAGATCTGGTAAACTTCAGTGGCACAAAGTCTTCTGCTTTGTGTCATTGTGAACTCAGGGCCTCACCTGAGTTCAACTGGAGAGAGAACTATGTAACCCTCCTGTAAGAACGAGTACTACCAAGTTAGAAGTCAGAGTAAATTATAATCCCTTGACTGGAAGGAGAAGATAGACACTGGAAAAAAAAATGCATCCCATTACCTGTTAATAATTACTATTCATGGAATTATGGACATGCAGGGAGATATTCTTTAAGATGAAATTTCAATCTGTTATATTTGTGCTAGTCAGCTTTCTGTGACTACAAAAATTTAAACTTATTAGCAGAAAATACTTATTTTGCCTCCAGGTTTGGAGGCTTCTGCCTGTCATTAAGCTGGCCCTGTACCTCTTAGAATAGCGGCCAGGAAGATCATCATGGTGGGGAGCACATGGCTGTATAGGCTGTGTCAGGGCAGATTAGAAACAAAGGGAGAAGAAGAAACAGAGCCTCAGTCCCATTTATGGCATTCTCAAGTGATCTAACTTCCTCCCACTAGATGTCCCAAGAGTGCCCGGGGTGGGGATTAAGTCTCAGACACAGAGGCCTTGGGGTGCCATTTAAGATTCAAACTATAGAAATATTCATAAAGGAGAGAGGTCTGCATTTACTAAGATGCTTAGGTCCAAAGCAAAAGAATTTTGAATGGAAGTATACAAAGATCAACTAAAGATTTTGGGACATTGTTGGGGTTAGTGCTGGAAAGAAGCATGTTTCTAAAATATACTAATTATATACATAATTAACTGTGTTAGAGATTTACCAGTGTTAGTGTTTTGTCTTTTAGATTCTTTTCCACTGGAGCATTAAACATTTACTAAAATTGTCTATGTTGGTAAGTCTGGAATTACTTTCCTCAATTTAGGATTGGTTTATTTATATGTGATATAGAAAATGTTGCTTTTGATGTGTTGTAGGTAAATGGCTATTTTCTGCATGTTTCTATCACAGTTTAGGATGAAAGTGAATCCTACCCTTGTTCAATGATGAGGTGTGGCCAGAAACGTTATCTGGGGAGTCGGGATGTGTGCATACAGTGCTTTTCTTTCCTTTAGATGCCTTTTTATGTATCTTTTTAAAATTCCTTTATACATACATACATTTACGTAATATTTTTTGTAGGCTATCGTAACTCTTTCTCTAATTCTTTACCTTGTGATTTTTATTATTTTGGGTCAGCATGTATGGTTGTGCAGATGATGCAGCATTTACGTGGTTAGTCCAAGATTTGTATGAATTTTAATGGTAGCTGTGGGAATAGTAAAAATTTATTATTTTAGTATTGTGCATTATGTTTATTGTACTAAATTACTAATTTCTGAGCATTATTATATCAGGATAGTTCACAGGATAAAAGCACGGTCTTAATGACGGTAACATTTCTGAAGTTTTTCCATCCCTTATACTGCTTTATACAATTATACTAATCTTAAAGTATTCTGTATACACAGCTTGATTAACTTTATGCCATTCAAAATTTTCTTTGAATTATTTAGTGTTGATAAAGTTGATGATGAAGATGATGAAGATTTAACAGTGAACAAAACATGGGTCTTGGCACCAAAAATTCATGAAGGAGATATTACACAAATTCTCAACTCGTTGCTTCAAGGTTATGACAATAAACTTCGCCCAGACATTGGAGGTAAGATAGAATTTCTGTTCTAAGATATTGCTGACTAAGGAAAATACCTTCTCTCATATTATTTAATCATTTATCTCATGTTTTTCTGAGTATTTGACGTATGTCAGAGACCCTGTTGGGTTTGAGGATTATTAGCTGGAATCATTGTCTGAAAAGTTTAGTCTAAAGTGAAATTATGCATATAAACAATTCTAATGCAATCATCTTATCATATTGCTATCATAAGAGGTGCTACAGCAAAATTTTGAGCAACTTTTCTGAAGGACTAAGAGATACAACATAAGAAAGCTAAAACTTAAAAGTAACTGAGACATCTTGTTTGGCACCAGGGCCATGTTGTTTTAATGGACACAGAATTTAAAATATTGATGATATATTTACTCAAAGGAAATCAACTTTGTTCAAGATTGTTACGCTTGGTCCTTTGAAATTACATATAACTTCTATCACCAAAATAAACTGGAACTTTCCCATTGAGATTTTTTAAGTGTTTAGGCAATAAGTATATACACCTGCAAACACAACATTCTATACGTGTACACATACACACAGATGATACTGTGCACATTTCTGTGTCTTTCCCTTCCCTCTCCCTCTTCATCTTTCCTTTGTGCTCTTTCTTCAATTCTAAAATGTGTGCTTCCCTAGTTTCTGCCATTTTCCCTTCATTTTACAGTATATTTTTCCCGTGGGTTACTCCTATAAGGGAAATCATGCAATATTCAACTTTCTTGTCTAACTTAAACCACTGTAACTCTTTAAAACAAATTAATGTATGTAAACAAAAACTTTCCTTGAGTTTGCATTAAGTTGATAGACAACACAGAGAAACTAAACTCTTTACCATGTTGATCTTTTAACACATCAAACATATAAACATTATGTGTTTCTCTATATAATTTTAAAATTTACTTTTCCTTGAAGAGTTATTATTAGCTTGATTAAAATTCATGTGTTTAGGAGTTTCTATCAAGAGTAAATGGATTTTTTAAAAATTAGAAAATTTGGTGCTTTGAATATATATAAATATAATAGATATTTTGCATATTTACTGTGTTCTCAGTACCCTTGCATAATTCATTAATTTAATAATGTATTGATATATTTCTCTGAGATTATGTAAGACAGAAAATGATGAATATTTTTGCTTTTTATTGCCATATTATCACTTTGTTTCCCTTATACATTTTCTCATATGAAATTGCTGTGGTTAAGACTAAAACACAATGTTGAATAGTCTTGGCTTGTTTCTGATAACAGAGAAAAGAATCTATATTTTCCTAGTAGGTATGATGTTTATTGTGAACTTCTTTTGTAAAGATACTTTGTTATATTTTCCTTTTTTACTGAGGAGCTACCTCAGGCATGATTTATCAAATATTTTCTGTGCATGTATTGACATATTCACATGGATTATATTTTGTTCTTTATTCAAATTGCTATTTATTCTATAAATATCTTAGAACAATTAAATTTTAAACTATCCTTTCATTCCTTTAAAAATTTCACTTTATTCTGATCTACCACTGCATAAAAATATCACTGGAATAAATTTGATATCTTGTTTTAGAGCACTGTATCCACGCTTATGGAAGATATTGACTGGTTATTTTATTCTCTGTAAAGTCTTCTGTAATCTTGAAGTTAAGATTTTGCCAGCACCTACAAACCAGTTATTTTCTCTTTCTGCTTATGAGTATCTCTAAGATAGACATTATTATTTCTTAAATATTTGGAAATATATTTTGGCAAAGACTTTACTTTTAGGGACTTCAAAAAATTAAATATGTTTATGAAAACTTTGGACTTTTCAATTTTGAGAAATAACTTTATGAGAAATTTGTTCTAAATTTGTCAAAGAAAGTTTTGAATTGTTTTATAATATTTGTGATATTTTTAAAATCTGAGATTTTCTTTTATTAGTAACCTGCTGCTTCATTTATGAAATGATCTTGAAGTACTTTTACCACTTTATTTTTGTTGTCATAGAAGCCAAATTTGGCTTTATCAAATGTTAGTGTTATCTGAAATTTCATTGTCTTTCAAAGTTTGTTTAATTTTATTAATCTGTTTGCCTTCTGTTTAATTTTATGTTTTTGTGGATCGCTAAAATCATTTCATTTCAAAATAAGTTGCAGACTTAGTAAAATAAAGAGTATATATAGCAAAATTTTAGAAGTAACAGATACAATCTCGTAATCCTTTAATGTAAACCTTAAGGTTAGCATGATATATAACTACAGAATATTTACAGGAGCCAGAAAATAAATTTGATGCAATACTATTAACTGATTGACAGATCTTTATCTTATTTTGTGTCTAATGTTCTTTGTTTTCTGTTAAGTATTCTACCAAAGATACAATGTGTTGCCATGTTTCTTTACTTCTTTTTATCTGGTATAGTTTCTCAGTTTTTCTTTTATGTCCTTACTGATTGTAAAGAGTATACCAAGCTGAGTGACTCGGAATTTGAGGTTATATGTTATTCTTATCATTAGGGTAAAGTTTTGCATTTGTACAGCGTCACCACAGAGTGATATTGTATCCTTTCAGCGTATTGTAACAGGTGGTAGATGATGTTAGTGTATGTTACATTTACTGATTGCATACAGTAATTACATACAATGATTACAGTGATCACATATAGTGATCCACCTGCCTTAGTGTCTTGAGTGCTGGGATTCCAGGCGTGAGTTACCAAGCCTGGCTCATAATATTTAATCTCAATTCAATCTTTTAATTAATACTAATTTTATAAAGGATAGCATGAATTTTTTTGTTTCTTTTACCAAGTTTTGATAGTTGCTTACTTTGTTTTCATTTTGAAAAATTTTAATTATTTCATTGTATTTCTTCTTTACAGATCATTTTTAATAATTAACTTATAAATATTTCAAAACTATTTATTATCAATTTTAATCACATCGTGATCGATAAACACACTTTTATTATTTTAACCTCATATAATCATTGTGTAACCATCAAAACTAGGAAAATAAGCTTGATATGTTACTACTGTACTATTGAACACAAAGGCCTAATTTCTAATTGTCTCAATAATTATTTACAGATTGAGCATCCAATTAGGAAATAATTATTATTTTTGTTCTTCGATGATAATACTACAAAAAAAGAAAAATAAGTAATTTAACTATTACATAATATTTTTCATATAATGGAGGAAGAGAGATTGTAGCACATTTCACTGAGCAAGCATAGTCCTGATAAATATACTGGAATGAGATATTTGGAGGATAAAATACTTGACTATTATTTCTCCTAGTGTGTCAGTTAAATGAAACATTGGTACAATCCTTTGAAGAAATTTGATAGCTTCCTCCTCAAAGGAATTTTTGGAAAAACTTCCTAGCCTAGTACAAATAAATCTGTATTTGGATACAGACTAGAAGAGAGTACAAAATCAATCTGTGTGTAAAAGCACTTGAATTAGTGGGCTGTTCTCCTTCTGGGAATTCTACCCAGGCCTCTTGCAAACTGTAATATATTTAGTTTCATAAAATTATTTTTTAATTGAAATGTAGTTTTAAAACATAAAGCAAACATTTCTGTGCACTGACAGTAATTTTTGGGCCAGTGGGACTGTTTGCTTATTTAAATGATATTCTGAAAATGATATTAAGAAATATCTGTAAACATTACTTTTTCCAGAAATGGAGTTTATAATTGACCTAAAGTGATTTTTTTTAAATGACCAAAACACTATTTGCTCATACATCATAGAAAGATTGGAATGAGAAGTTCAAGAAAAAAATATTTAGTATCAATTTGAAGAAAATATTTTAAAACATATTTTAATTTATGTTTTCTAACAAACTAATTATCCACTTATGGAACTGAGTTTTCTCAGTGTTCCCTTGGCCACTTGGAGCGGAATATGAACTTTGTATTGGTTTTACTGCTTCTGCTATTTAACTTTTTTTTTTTTCTTTTCTTATTTTGTGGTTGCTCAAATTGCTCTAAATCTGTTTTTTTTTTTTTTTTTTTTAATATATGCTCACTGTCTCTGGAAGTTTATCTACTTATGTTCTATATTGTACTTAAAGAAAGTGCTTAGAATCATGGCACAGAAAAGGCCCTTTGAAATATGCCCCAGTGTCATCTCTACCTGCCTTCTATATATAAAAACTGTAATTTGCTTTGGCAGGACATGGGTTTCTCACTCAAGGCTACACTGCTGCAAAGAAAGTCTTTGATCTTTGTTTGTACTGATGAATTAAACATCATCTGTTCTTACTTTCAAGACATCATTTGGTAAAGCTGGAGTCTCATTTCTCTTTTGGGGTGTTTTTCTAGTTTTGAACTGAAGGATGATGTTCTTCTGTTTGAACATCATGGAAGTCTCACTGTGAAACAAATAGTCTAAGCAAATCATTGGGCTGAAAAAGGGTGTTTCTCACCTTCCAAAAAATCCTGAGTAATTCTATCCACAAGTGTTATTCCCACTATAAGTCAATCAAAGTGGCAGTGAGTCACTGTTCAGTACCGAGCAGTTAGCGATTTCTGTTGTTTTTCACTTACACATATATTTTGAGGCATATAATTACCACCTATAGTCTCAAAATTAACCTTAAGTATTTCCTTACTTTCATATTTAATCTTTCTCCTCTTTTGCATCTGCAAATTAAAGGATTGGATCAAATGCCAGCAGCCTAAAGTTACAAAATGGGTACAGGGCTGGGGATATAATTCAGCCACACAGCTCCTGCCTGTCAGGCACAAGGTCACGAGTTCCATCTGCATGCCCAAAAATAAAATAAAATGGGTACATAATAAGTGAAAAAAAATCAATTTTGTAAATAAATATTTAATTTTTGCAAATTGTCTTTTTATTAATAGCAATTTTCTACCTTGAACTTTCTGACGAGATTCTCCTTAACTCCCATCCCTAGGCACTGTGTGCTACTCATAAAGTACCTCGGAGCCCATGGTGATGAAGAGCTCATGCTCTAAGACTGAAGTTAATTTGTCTAACAACTTTTACTGCATTTTATGATTGGATAAAAAGTTTGGATGTTAGCAAAGCAGGCTAACTGACTTATAACTGTTTCCACCTTGTAAATGGACAAGCCTGTCCTGAAAATAGAATGTCCCTAGGAATCACTTACTTCTCTCAGTAAAAATACTATTTAGCCAACAGTTGCCATAGTAAATACAGGAAGTCAGTATTTGTTGATTTATCACCATAATTGAAAAGAAATCTAATTATGTAAGTGTGCTACATTGCTTGTAACTGGCAATAAATATACTTAAATTGAAAAGAAAAAAACTTATTGCATTGTTGTTAATTGACTTTCCAAAAAATCATTCTGCAAATCTAGCCATAATTAGCGTAATTATGTGGTATTCATGGCTACAATTTATAGCTAGTCAGAAATAAATGGCAAATAATTAAAGCAACTTGTCTCAGAGGTCATCAATCTAAGTTAAATTATAAAAATCTTCTGTAGGTCACATGACCTACTTCTAATTACAAAACCCAGTTGTTGACTAGGAGGATGCATTACTTTTCTGTAATATATAGGTTTAGAAACATTTAATTCCAAATACTGCTACTACTTTTTAACATATTTTATTCATTTTGCTTTTTAAGAAAATATGTATAACATATATTAAAAACAACCTAAAAAACCTAGCTAAATAATACTTGTTTTTGTAAAAACGTAGATAACTTTTTCCACTGCAAAGGGTAAAAACAAGTACTATTTTAAATCTGTATGAGTAGGATTTTGCAAAGTAATGAAATTTCTGATTGAGGTTTGGTAGGTGGAAGATTTTGCCATACAGGGACATGCCAGGAAAGTTAGGCAGAGACACAGGGGCTGGGGAGATACTCAGATCCCTGGATTCCGAAGTCAGAGGAAGAAGTACATCCTATCAGGTCAGTCATTGCTTCTGAACTAAGAGTGATAAGTGCTAGGGCAGAAAAGAAAAAAAGACAAATTTTAGAAAGATGTACACAGAAAAATGAACAAAATATTGCTACAGTAGCAGAGAAACTTTCAATCTACAAAGTGCTGCTTTTCTAATTTATCTACTTTGCTTTTTCTTTATAAATTCTCTGAGGTAGTATTTTTTTTTCTTGAGATTTTTGTCATCATGTTTGCTTGTTAGCACTTTACACCCAACCCTCTAGCAAATATTTGCTGAAGCAAAGCAAAACAAAACAAAACAAAACAAAAAACCCTTGAGTTCTAGGTCTTTCTTCATAGTGATGATGAGGGGAGTAAAACGAAAATGTTTACATAACAATCAACAAAACATGGGCATGAACTGTCCTTAGTCTTGACAATGTCCTTAAACAAAGCCAAAAATCTTATTGAAGAAAAGACTAAAATATTTTGTTTTCAGTAAGACGGATCTATCTAGATCACCATGTTGGGCTCAGACAGACTTAGAAGAGCAAATATCCCGCGGTTGCCTAATCTGTGAATCTAAAAAGAATGTTGAGAAAGTGGAAGGAAGAATATTATTTAATAAGAAAATGGGATAAGAGGGAGCGAGAGGGTGTGTAAGAGCAGATAATAAGGGGGATGGATGTGATCAAAACACATACTTGAACCTCACCCTGAAATGTGGAACTAACGTGGGGGTGAGGGAGCACTCGGAGGGGATGATCACAGTATCTTATGTGCATGTGTGATTCTGCCAAAGTAGAATCCATTAGTTGACATAGTCAATAAAACATGTGGGAAAATAAAGGGAGAAGCAAGTCTAAGTCACCATCAGGTATGATACTGTTGTAGGTAAATCTTAATTATGTTATTTGGTGAATATTTGAAAGACTGATTAATGTTATATATTTTGATAGAATTAAAAATACAGTGTATGTACCACTGAGACACTTTTTTTTTCAGCTAGAGAGCAAACAGTGGTTGCACAAGAACAATTACCCAATCCATAGGGATGCTTATACAATATAGTCTGTAAAAATAAAGGTTGTTTGACATTGGAGCCAACCGTCAACAATCTAAAATAATATTATTAATAGGGGAGGAAGGAAGGAGGTTTACACAGATATGCACTGAACTTCTGGTATGAGTCAGATTTGGATAATTTTGTAACATACATTATGTTCTTTAATCTTAATAGCTGCAGTGTAAATTCTAGTGGTGCTTAAACTATCTTATAATAAATACTTCTTTTACATTTTTCAAATGTGCATTTAGTGATTTAAAGACATTGTTGTCTTTAAACAAGGCTTCATGAGAGAATTCACAACTTAGAAATCAGTAAAAAACTACAAATCAGATGTTTCTCCTTCTATTCAAGTGAAGCTGAGCATTGAGTAGTAACTGAAAAGCATTCAGTAGAATTATGTACTGTTAGTCTCTAAGAATTACAATTCTAATTCTAGAATTCTATAGTAAATTTAGAAAGAATTAGCAAATATTTTGTGTAATTTACTTCCTTATGTTGGGTGGGTGATTTAGATATTTTAATATGTTCAGCATAAACATTAATTAAAATATGCTTTAAGTATATGATTGATTTGCATATTGAAAGTTTTGTGTTTTTATGAGTTTATGTTTCTGCATTTTATAATGAGGGAACTTCTATTGTTAAAACACTGAACTATTCCTGTTATGATTTACCTAAAGCTAAGATTTCTTTAAGATGGCTTTTGATGATAACCTTGCCATTTTCTGCTTTGTTATTTTGCAGTGAGGCCTACAGTAATAGAAACGGATGTTTATGTAAATAGTATTGGACCAGTCGATCCCATAAATATGGTGAGTGATACAAATCCAGAGATTCAGAAATTTGGCTTCATAATACAGTGAATACTTTAGTCATTTCTGATAGCTGATTCTGAATGAATTTAAGTTGCTATGTGTAATGTTCTGTGCTAGATGAGCAATCAGAGCTAAAATATCACTTACCTAATAGCTGAACTAGTAGCCTTTTTTCTAGTGCAGTGTATTTGATATGACTGTGATAGGCATAAATAAATATCACCTGCTCAGTCAAAAGGAGGGGGCTGAAGAAATTTAGAAAAAAGAAGATCAGTAGACCTAGGGGGAAAGACAAGTCTGTGATGGAAAGGGACATATATGTAGAAAAGGCAGAATGCCCAGAGCTGCAGAGAAATCAAATGGCCTGAAAATATCCAGGAAATTTATTGCCTAGAAAATGTAAACAGCAAGATGAGGAACTGAATATGAAGGAATTATAAAAATCATATTTAGGATGGTATTGCAACATATTATAATAGGAAACGTGAATATTTTGTGATGTACGAATTTTATATTTCTTGGGATAACAGAAATAATCAGAAGATTTTCATCAGCTATTATATGCTTTTTTTAGTACATCACTTTGGTAATAATGTAGGAGATAGATATAAGTGCCAAGATTGAGATTAGAGAGACCAGTTCAGAGGTTGCATTATTCCAGGCAATAGATCTTAGAGGTTTTCCTTACTAGGGTGACAGCTGAACTGGAGACAATCAGACTGTTACTTTCCTGTACTATGTAAAATGACAACTGAGTCAGAAAAGATAGATGCACATTAAGAAATATCAAGCGACTTTTTCAGAATCTGGTGACTCCTGTGTTAGACCTAGGCTGACTCCAAGGTAAGGACTTGAAGAAATCTTGCAGAGAGTAGTGACATTATGTGGGATATGTAATGCAGGTGGGTGTGCTCAGATACTTAATGGTTTGCATCAGGAATGTTCCCCTGAGATCTCATGTGTTCTTGGATAGTGCTTTCTGAAGGTGATTGCATTTCAAAGGCCCTATATACATGAGTGAATCAATTCATCTGTGAGGTCAGGAATAAATGTGCTCTCAGATTCTGTGGCCTAGAGTGGAGACCTGGGGGACATGATTTGGAAAGACCTGTCTTATTTCTAGGGTCTCTGCTTTCTGATCACCATGAGCAGCTTTGCTCCTTCCATACCCTTCCACCATGGCAGTTCTGAGTTTAAGGTTGCCAGACCTGCGCCCAAATAGGCCTCTCCTTTACGCTGCAGTCATCTGGTATTTTATCATGATGACAAGCAAAGTGACTAAGAAAGGGCACATTCAGTAGGTGCTACCCAGCAGTGATTCATCTGTTAGCCTTGTTGTTCAAGGAAGTATTGGGACTGAGTATAGGAGGAAAAGAAGAAAATGGTGTATAATGTACCTTAAAACTTTAAGAATCTCTGAGATGACCCAAGAGGATATTCAGCTTAAGAACAGTGCAGACATGAGGACCAGATGGTAGGTAAAATACGGGTGGAAGAAGAATAATACAGGAAAGAAGCACGTCGGAAAGTCAGAGAGGTTGGAGAAAAAGCAGAAGGAGGCATTTTATAATTTTAGACATTAGAGAGAATAAAGAAGGAATAATAATGAATTACAAATGTACATAGAGTTCAGCAAAAAATAGACTAAATTGGGCCCATAACCATTAGCAATCAGATGGTGTTGGTTTTCTCCGACTGGTAAGTTTAGTGGAGTGGTAAATGTAGGAAAAGCATAATAGTTCAGTGAACATCGTCTCCATCTTCAAAATTGTTCCCATGCCCAAGCTGCATTCTGCATAGCCCAGAATAGACCCGTGCGTCATGCAGTGATGCAAGCCACTCAGTCAGACACTGGTTTGAGAGTGCTGGGGAGTATGGAGAAATGCAGGTTTAATTCTTGAACCACTAATTTTGGAGACTGTGTGTAGATGAGAAAGAGGATGAGATAAGCTTATAAGGGCAAAAAATATATAGTTAAATAAGATGAATAAATTCTATTGTTTTATAACATTGCAGGATGACTCTACAACAGTTTATTATATAGTTCATGAAGAACTTGAGAAGATACATATGCTAAATAGCATGATTCAGTTATTCCAAATTGTATGTACGGAGTGAGAATATGAATGTGAACAATTACGTCATACAAATTCAAAAAATGTAGATTGATAACATAAGGATGAGAGAGAGAGAGAGAGAGAGAGAGAGAGAGAGAGAGAGAGAGAAAGAGAGAGAGAGAGAGAGAAAGAGAGAGAGAGAGAAATGAGAAGCAGCAAGATTATGCAATAATGTCAAGGGAGGTCCATATAGGATACAAAATGATTAAGTGTAGCATTCATGCCTTACTTTTACACATAGTGTTTTATTACTATTTGAAGGATATTAATTGATGACACTAACATAACCAGAACATATTATTTAACAAATAGATCATGATGATCTGACTCAAACCTTAACAATCTCATTTCTGTGAGTCAAACTATTAGGTGTCATTTAATGAGCTCAATAATGTGTTACTCTATGAATCTCCTGTGATTCGGTCATTGATGCTATTACTGGACTCTGATTACTGTAACAAATTACCAGTAACTTTGAGACGCAAGAACTGGATATTTATTTTGCACAATTATAGAGACAATCAGTCCAAGCTCAGAGTGTTGGCTGGTTTGGTTTTTTCCTGGGCCTTTCACTGACTTGAAGAGGGCACATCCTCACTATGTTCTCGCATTCTGTTGCCTTTTTCTCACTCATTGGTTTTGTCACTTGGCCTATCTAGACTTTCTCTTCTCATCAAAAGTCAGAATAGATTAGGATCCATCTTGAACACCTCAATTAAAATTAATCTTTTCTTTTTAAGCCCTATCTTCAAACACAGTCATATCTGAGATACTGATCATTAGCAGCTGAACCTATGAAGTTTTGTGTGTAACACAATTCATCGTCTAAGACATTAAAGGGAATTATCTACAACTTTTCTTACTCAATTTATGCAGTATAACAAGAATCAAATCATTTCTGTATTTTTCACCTTTATCACTTTAGACTTGAAGAACCATTACACTATGCCTATTGCCTATGTCAGCTTCCTTATATGACGGTCACATTCCATCTGTTTTTCTCTTCCTTAGCCGGATCTTTCTGTGACTGACCTTAACTTTCACAGCTGTCTTCACTGATTGCTCCAGTGTCAGCATTTGGCCATACCATAACTGATGTCTTTGTCACTATAAAGGAAACGAATGTGAATCGGCCATGAATAAATTGCTTTTTGAGAGGATGGTGGGATGTCTGCATACAGTGACCTGGAAGTTAGTCTTAAATTAGGGACTGATATTCAAAGAAGAATCAGGAGCCAAATCCCTCTCAAGAGTTTGCAAAATCTCTGTAAGATTGGCTAGGAAAGGGATGGAGCCTTGATGTAAGAGAGAAAAAAATGTATATCAGACTTTACTAACACATACACTTAAGGAACAGAAAACAGAGGTAATAAGTAAAATTGCAAGATTAACCAGAAAATGAAGAAAAAACAGTACCAAGGGAAACAAAGAGAAAAAAAAGTAATAAATGTTTTAGTATCGGCTCTGCATAAAATAAGTTTCTATACAAGCAGTTGAGTTTTTTAAAACGAGAAAACATTTTATATAAATGTGGGTATAATGCTGAATTTTGAACATTATGTAAATATGAAATTTCCTAAGGTAGTACATTAAAAAATGTTAATTTTTCTCTTTTGGATAATTTTATATTGTTTAGTATTTTAAGTAACCAACGCCTAGAGAAAGTAAACCAATTGAACATAGAGAAAAGTCTACATTTTTCTAAATTGCATGATTTTTATGAAGGAAGTTTGCTTTTAATTGTTCTTAATTTTTTAAATATAAAAGGTCATCATTAAAGTAAAGAGAAACAGGATTCAAAGCTGTATTAATATTCTGGAAATACACTGACATGTAGACTACCAGGAGGACTCAACAATGATTTTCTATAAAAGATTCATGGTAGTAAAGATTTAGTTTTCCCAGTGGGGTGAATTACACATTTATAACCTTGGGCAGTGATAGTTTTGCAAATGTTAATTAAATGAAATTGCTATTGAAACTAGTAATGCTAAAACTTATGCAAAAATCCACTGGAATGATTGATAGTGTTTATTAAAGAAATGCATTATCATACTAGGGGTTGATAAGAAGTTTATACAGAAGACTATTTTAACTAAACAATACAAGAAAATTAGAATTTGCTTTTTAAAAAATGAACAAAACTGCTTTGAATGGAAGTGTAATCAAGTAAATAATGAGTAATTAAGTAAGCTTGGAGTTGTTTTTTATTCCCCATTAACTAGGAACACATTTTAAGTTATTTGTCTAGAAGGAAGAAAATTAACATACCAGTTTAAATGTGTGTGGTTTTTTTTTTTTTTTTTTTTTTTTTTTTTTTTTGGAAGTACAGAGGATTGGACCCGGAGTTTTCATATGGAGCTATATTCCCAGCTAAATTTTGTTTTGTATTTTTGGAGAGACTTTCACTAACTTGCCTCGGTGGAATTCAAACTTATTATTCTCCAGCCTCAGTCTTTCAAAGCTCTGGAGTTACAGATGCAAACCACTGAGCCTTGTTGTCTTTTTGTTAAGTGAGCCCGAATTTGATTTGTTATAAAATGATTGTTCTTCATATTTGACTACATAAAATGGCATTTCAGTACAATACTGGTGGCACCAAAAACATCATTCTTCAATAGGAAATGATTTTCATTTCTTTGTTCCAGAGCTATAAGCTCTGATCTTTATGTCCCTCTCAAAAGTAGAGTACATTGTGTATTAAATGGAAAAAATGACTCAGTCAATAAATTACTGAAAAAATCAGAGTAATTTGAACAAGTAGTCCAATTCTGTGTGTGCCCTGATCAAATATAAGTGGAAAAATTTTCAATCAAAATAAAGACAGTAAATGTTGGTTGAGGTTATTAGACTGGACGGGTATATTTTTAAGCTCTTAAC